GATTCTACATAAGAGAAGCAAGACTTGTACATACGCGTATCGCATCTCTTTCACACGATCGGAGATCCTCTCAAACGGAACTCGATATACTGGCTTCATGCCCACCCTGTGTCTCCTCGGCACACGATCAACAGTGGACATGGCAACATTCCTTATGTTATGGGATATGCCTTTGTCCTCTATGATGCGTGTTTGGATTTCTCTAAGCCCGATACCCTCATTCATTCATTTATTTTTCCTTTTTTTATTTATCTAGTGTTAGCATGCCCACAGGGGTTGGGCAACCAGTTGACCTTGGACCCCTAGATGTTTTTTATGTACGTTTATTCCCTGCTGAAAAGAGAAGAGAGAAAGCACAACGTTTCGGCCGTGGAGCTTCTTCAGGTGTGAGGAAGACAGGGCAGTGGGCAAAGGTAATGTAAGGGGAGAAAAAAACCTAACTCGTGGCGTTAGTAAGGCCAGGTTCTGCAGTTGCGGTGTTCTTCCAAAACCGATTCACGTTTCCTCACACAGATAGTGAAACAGAGAAAGATTACAACCTCTTTTAAAGAACAAACAACAAAGTGGGCCGAAATTATACTGGACAACAGAAATGAAAACCACACCAAACAGGAATGCGGTGTTTTCAAAACACCAATAGCGGTCGGTTATATGTCAGGATGGCCGAGCGGTCTAAGGCGCTGCGTTCAGGTCGCAGTCTCCCCTGGAGGCGTGGGTTCAAATCCCACTTCTGACAGTACCTTTTCTTTACCTGATGATTTGTTAAGAGTGCAGATGAAAAGAGCACAACAACGTAATATGTTTCCTGTGTTTCCTGTCAGGAGACGTTTCCTCTTACGGCTAAAGTTGTAGTTTCCGTTTTTATTTCGATTCGTTTCAGAAACGCGTGTGAAAACGTTCCCAGTTGTCTGTGCTCCTGCTGCTGCTCATTCGCGTACATTACTGACACCTACAGAATCAGCAACACGAGTTTTTACCTGCTTCCCGCTGTCTAATAATGCTCATAAATGTTCAAGAATCTATTTAAAAAGGCACATCTGAAATTATTTTAGCCTGTGGTCTGTCTGTCATCCCCACTGTTGGTGAAGAACAGCCGCCTGCAGGAGACTCCCTCTCCGGACACAAGTCCAGTCACTCCGCCGAGAGGAGAGCCCTCAGTCGCCGGCGACCG